TTACTTAACTCTGTTCTGTGAAATTACTCCGAGCAGATTTATACTATAACTTGTGTTTCTGACTGTAAATGGAAAATTGAACCTTGCTTAAAATGATCATGAATTCATGATCATAACTATTCCCCTGTTAAGTGAAAATTTTGCTGTAAATGTCCACTTTTGTCTCTAATTCCCTATAAATTACATGTTACAACCTTCCCTGAATAAAGGTTTTTTGGATCGGGATTCTTTCTGGTGCTGTAATAATACCTGATTTGGGTACCCTACATGTTACTAGCTAGAAGGATCACCATCTAAGATCCCTATTTCTGGTTATGATTGCATTCACCTAAGAAAAAGAAAATGGACAACATATTCATACCTAAAGTGCTGAATAATGTTTTACCTGTCTGGATCATATCTTTATCAGCAAAACAGTGAAGAATGCAAGAATGTTCACCTTCTGATTGGACATCATGCTCAAATAGGACAAAGGTTACTTTAGATGATATGCATGAGTGTAAGCAAGATTAAAAAAAAAACATTAATCTTACACTAACTTGTTTGATTAAACATGCAGACTCTTCAAATCCTACCCAAGAACTCATTATCTTGTAAACATGTTGTAAAGAGATCTTCATCTTCCCTTTCATTGGAGGGTTTCATGCGTGACTATTTTCTCCCTGGTTCACCAGTTTTATTAACTGACAGTATGACTCATTGGCCTGCAATTACCAAATGGAATGACTTGAATTACCTTAAAAAAGTTGCAGGATATCGCACAGTTCCTGTTGAGGTGATGTATTAATTACAAAACTTACATCAAGTGTTGTTGTTTAAGAACAAAACTCATATCCAAATCTCCTCAATTTACTCAAAGTCAATCTTTAAGTTCTCCTGATGATCAATTTTTGTTGCAGCTGAAAAATGTGTTGTAGAACATCTTGCAGGTTGGAAAAAACTATTTATGCAATGATTGGAAGCAAGAGATGTTAACATTTTCTGAGTTTCTTGAGAGGATTCAGTCCAACAGTTGTGATGATGCCCATGCCCCTACTTATTTAGCTCAGCATCCCTTGTTTGATCAGGCATGTGCTTACTCTATCATGCACATTAGGTGTTCGATGAAATGCCTAAAATGAAATGAAGAAACCAATTGATTTATGTATTGTGTAATATGCAGATACAAGAGCTGAGAAATGACATTGTTACCCCTGACTACTGTTTTGCTGGTGGAACTGAGATGAAGTCGGTTAATGCTTGGTTTGGTCCAGCTGGCACAGTGACACCTTTACACCATGATCCCCATCACAATATTCTTGCTCAGGTATTTTAAGTTGAAGAAATATATATTTTAGATTTTTTTTTTTTGAATTGGATATGGAAAACAATAAATATGAGTTTTCACAGTTAGTTGTAATTTAGAAAAGGGTTTTAGATTGATTTAGGGAAACAAACTATTTAAATGTTTTCAAGTTGGGAACAAACCCAAAAAATGTTATAAACAGGTGAAGAAGTATGGTTTTTGTTTTTCCACATGCTATCCCAGGTATAGCATAGTAGGTCATGTTCTAATTTTACATTTTTGGCCCTGGTTTTAAATTTTGTTATGAGTTTGGTCCTAAGTTTTAAATTTTGTTACAAATATGGTCGGAACTTTTTTATTTTACAAATTTGCCTCAAGTTTAGTTTTTTTACAACCTTTTTTAAGACTTTTTTAAACTTCTTATTACAATTTATTTATTTACTTTTATAAATACAACTTTTTATAGATTTTGTTACACAACATTTTCTATACTTTTTTACTTAAAAACGATAATTAACTTTTTTTTTTGTAATTTTTTAAGTACAGCGATTTAAACTTGTTTAATTTTTTAAGCTTTCATACGACTTTTATTTTTTAATAAACGGAAGTATTTTTAAACGTTATAATAATAAGTAAAAAAAAAAAGCTTAGAAAGGGGTTGTATGAAAGTTGTAAACAAAGTCGTATGTAATTGTAAATTTTTTAAAAAAGTTATCATTTTTTTTAAATGCTTAGAAATACATTCGTATGCAAGTGTAAGAATTGTTAAAAAAAAATGTAAAACAAGTTTATAACTTTTTTTTTTTTTTTTTTTGTAAATAAGCATAAAAAAGTGGTAAAAAATTGGGAAGTATGCAAGCATAGTCCATATATTTTAGCTTCATAATCGATTTAGTTCTTATATATATATATATATATATATATATATATATATATATATATATATATATATATTCAATTAAGTCCTAAAAACTGACAATTGTTTGTATTTTGGCCCTTTAACTAGTAACCGGTCACTAACAAAATATGAAGACTTTTATTTTTATAGATATTTTCAAAATATAAGGATTTTTTTTAGAAATATATTGTTTTTAATTTTTTTAATATTATTTTATTATCTTTATATAATCTTAATGTAATAGTTTTTATGTGACACAAAGTATTATCTTGCTATTATATTATTGTATTTCTCTGCTATTATCGTACAATATTATCTTTAAATTAAAAATAAAAGTCTAAAAGTTATAAACAAGTTCTTTAGAAAAAAAAACCTTTGTTAAACAAATGATATCAAGGTTGTTAAAAACATGATCATGATCCTAAGATCATATGATCACCTAAGTAAAATGATCAAATATGAGAGATGTATCTTTTGTGATTCAAAGTATTTATTGTTAATTGAATGATAAACTGATAGACAAAATTATATTTTTTATGGTCTAAAATCCTTTTTGGTAGGATCTTACATTCTTGACAACATATATAGGATCTTACTATAATGATTTTGCAAAACAAAAAAACAATTTTATATAGAAGAAAGAAAATAACATAAGATTAATGTAAGATAATACAATCTTGAATATTATAAAAACGGCTATTTATAGAAGAAAAAAAATCTATTCTATTTTCATAATAAATATTCTCCATCAGACAAAGAAAATATCATAAGATTATTGTAAGATAATATGTTCCATTAGACAGAAAAAATAAACTAAGATAATAATATAACATTAAAAAATTAAAAATAATATATTTAAAAAAAAATCGTTATATTTTGATCATATTTCTGAATAAGTTGGTGATCGGTTTACCAAGTAGAAGTGCCTAATATCATCATTTATAAAGCTATTATAATACAAAAAAGTGAGTCAACTTTGTTAAAAACTAATAAATATAAGGGTTACTTTTGAAAATGTATATACGTTGTGTTAAATCACTGTTTCCACCAAAAATTGCACCATTTCGTTAAGAAAGGTCAGTGGACTGGTCTTTTCATCGTGTACACCTTTTTTCCTTTTTCCTTTTTTTTTTTAAATAAAAAAGTGGGAATTATTTAACTTTCAGGTTGTTGGAAAGAAATACGTGAGACTATATCCAGCTTCATTTTCAGAGGAACTTTACCCACACACTGAATCCATGCACAAGAATTCCAGCCAGGTATTAATATAACTATTAAACATCAACAAATAAATAAATAAATAATCCTTTTCTATATTCATAGTAAATTAATTAATTAGCAATATGAATTCCATTGAAGGTTGATCTAGACAATATAGACGTGAGTGAGTTCCCAAAGATCCAAGACTTGGAATTTGTTGACTGCATTTTAGAAGAAGGCGAAATGCTTTACATCCCTCCCAAATGGTGGCACTACGTCCGATCCCTCACCACAAGTCTTTCTGTCAGCTTTTGGTGGGCTGCTGCTACTACTTCTCCTCCCTCACCAACATCTTCATTTTAGTAAATGGTAATCACCACATTTTTATATATTAATTAGATATAACTCTTTTTTATGTTACTAATTTGTCACCTATCATCAACATCATTATTGTTGTTATTATTATTATTATTATTATAACAATTACTGGTACATTTTCTTATTAAAACCTGTTCCTCGAAACTGAATTATGAAAATACCCACAAGTTCAAGTTCCTTTTTCTTTTTACAAACGAACACCAATTTTCGCATTTGGTTTTCTGTGAAATTTTACATTCCCCCTTTTGTTATTTTTTATGTCTTTTGAAGACGTCTAACAAAAATCTTAAGTGGGGAAACTTGGATTTTCACAGATGAAAGAATTGTTTTTTTATTTTTTTCAAATGGGACGTATGACTCATGACAATTTTGGTCGTATTGCAAAATTTTGGACAATGGTAAATGAGATTCGTTTTTTTTTTTTTTTTTTTTTTTAATATAAATAAATAAATATAAAGTACGATCCTGGTCCCCACCCGCAAAAACTAAACACGATACAACCTGTCCGACCCAAAATCTTTTTAAAAATTACCCGGTTTGGAAAGGACTCTCCATGGGGCCTTTTGATACCACTTTGGTTTTAACGAATGTCCATGGTCCCAAAGGACCCAAACAAATCATCAATGTGAAAAGTGAAAACAACAACAAATTGAATCCAACAAAACAACGCCTCTCATTTTAAAATTATCAACATTTGCATCAAGCATCATTAAAATACAACACAAACAGCTCTTGTTACAACACAACCACTCACAACATTACATTATATCACCCAATGACAAAAAAATAAAATAAAAATAAATAATAAACAAATTAACCTGAAGTTTTATACCTGCAAATTACCTTACACCTCAAAACCCTATCTTGCACATAAAACCCCGGCATCACCATAACCTTCACTTTACTCGGAGTCTGATTCTGCCCCCTTTGTCTATCAACAAACACATCCTCCATGAAAACACCATCAAAGCTTCGATTCTCTTCCACTCTCAAAATCCCCAAAACCGGATTAAACGAAAACGCCAACAAATGCAACAACCAAATACACTTAGCAGCCACAAAAAACGCCTGAAGCAACAATTCCGGCCATGGTCGAGTCCAATTCAAAGCTGTTATCACTCCGCTCATTTTCAAATCACAAAATCTACTAAACTCCTCGCTGTAATACTTCGTCCCCTTTCTCAAAACCTCATTCCAACTTAAATTCCGAAGCGCGCAAAACGACGAGAATTGCAATTCCCGTTCCTGTTGCGGGTCTAAAAGCTTTGGAATTCCGTTCTTCTGAAACACGCAGTTTTCAAAGTCTTGGTATAACGATTGGTTTATGATCGCTTCCAAATGGTATAAAACGGATTTCGAGTATTTCGAGTTTATCGATTGTTTATACGGTTGAAGAATTGAGTTTAGGTTATCGAGTAAAACCGTGTCCCCTTCGTCGATATGGGAAACCAAAGTTTTACAAAAGTGTTTAACCGATAATCTCGCTTCCGATACTATTTGCATAAACCCTTCCACCATTACTTCATTACTAACCGGCATGGAATCACTGATTCCGATTCCGATTTTCCCATTCCCATTCCCATTCCGTTTTGCTTGTAACACCGTTTGACTCAACGCCTTCTTCAGCTCTTCGCAATAACTCTCCAAATACTCTAACTTCTCTTTCATGTCACATATCGACGATTTCATCTCGGAAACCTCAATTACCGCCGCTTCGCGCCGCTCATTCGCTTCAATCAGTTCCTTCTTCAACGCTTCAATTGACGTCACAACTCCGGAATCCTTACCCGAAGCCTCGTCCGATTCCATTCTATTCGGCGACTGCTCGACGTTCTTGTGTTTTTTCTTGTTTAACCGCGGAAACAACCACGAAAGGCTGATTCCGGACTTGGGCTTGGAATGGGATTGGAACAACGAATGGGAATCGGTCATCGGGACGACCAAATTCGAATATTTATTCGTGCTAAGTGTTGCCGGTTTGCATTTATTGCACGAGGAAATCGACCGGAAGTCTCCGAGACTGTTCCTTCTCGATTTTGAGAATTCGGTTCCCGGAGACGCGCGGAGGTGGTTGACGTGGTTGGCGGTGGAGGCGGTGACGGAGTTTTGATCGTCAGAAGGACATGTGTGAGGGAGGATGTTTAGCAGTTCGGGTGGCAACAGTGTTCTGGACGATGTGTTCGGGTTCTTGTAGTCAGACAAGAACCGTAGATCGTCGTTGCCACCCCCGTTTACGCTACATTCGTCCCAACAACTTGGGAAACTTTGATTCCTCGGTACATCATCGTAACTCTGTTAAAATTAAATAATATCAAATACCCGTTTTAACAGTTTTAGTAGGAAAGATGTGAGAATCTAGAGTGGTCCAAAAAGTAGTTTTTTCTTATAAAACAGAAATTTTTTGTAGCTGTTTTTGAAGCAACTTTAGTCTGAAAAGCTGGCTCAAAGAAACTTGAGACAGAAACAAAGTGTGTTTTTAATGAAAGAGAATCTACTTTATGTGTGTATGATGTTGGTAAAGTATACTACTTTTGGTTAATAGAAACGTTAAAAAGGTTTTAGTATATTATCAAATGTATAAAGATATTGGTGGTCGAAAAAAAAACAAGAAAAGGTAAAAATATATGAACAGAAATTATTATGGACAAAGTTATCAGGGTGATGTAGAGGACCACATGATCTTTTTTAAATGTTGTAATTTGGAAATATTGGGGGCCATAAGAGTGATGTTAAGTTTCAACCCTTGTTATCGATGAATTATGTCTAAATAATTTTGAAAAAAATAAATAAATAAAAATTTCGAGATAGAACAAAGATTAAATAGCATAATACGTAATCAAAATAATTATTTTTAGAATACCTAATTTAATTTTAGAAAGTATTAGTTTTAATGGAATATCCAAGATTGTTTTGAGTGGTTAGGAAATAATTAAATTATCCAATGAAATGTTAAAGTTCGCAAATGTAAAGAAAAAAGTATACTCCTATTATTTAGTGGGAATTTTAAATTACATTATAAACCAACTTTACAAGCAATACGTGTTAAAGATATTGCGTAGAACAGTTGTTAATGGTTTTTCTAGTGGTTTGCACATATCTCAAAGGTTTAACTTCTTTTAATACACGAAGCGAATTCAAAGTGCAATATTCAATACGCTTTTGCTGAATCCAATTCAATTGAATTCGAATTCATCTGATGAAAAATGGTAAAACAGAAATCGGAAATCGGAAAATCTTACAGGAGTGAAAACAGGGTAATCCTGAGCGGAGAGTTGAGACGCATGCCGTGAAACTGGAGACGCCGACGGCAACCGGAGATGTGCCGGACTGTTGCTCTGTAACAGAGCAGCATGAAGTGCTCGGAGCTCCACCGCTTTGGCAATGGCTGCTTGAATCTCCTGTTTGCTCACGTCACGGTTACCGGTGGTTGTGGTTGTGGTGGGAGTGCGGCGGCGGTCTTCCCTTTGATAGGCGTTGGATTGTTCCGACGTGCTGGTTGTAGCCATTTGTGAACAGAACGGAGCGTGTGAGGAAGAAGAAGAATAAGAATAAGAGATTATAAACAGAAAGGATAAAACGGAATTGAATTGAATGGATTAACGGTTGGATTTGGTTTCCAAATGGAGAAGAAGATCACAGGGTTGCAGGAATACCAGAAATCGATGTGAGAGAGGAGAGAGAGAAGTGAAGTCCAAAAGAATTTGTCATTGTTACGAATGGAATAAAGGGATGGGAGCATGTGGAGAAGATGTTGGGTCACTGAGTGAGTGAGTGAGCGAGTTAAGCGTGTGACCCAGCTTCTATTGTAGTAGATGGTGAGAGACTGAAATGACTATTTTGTCCTGTGGTTTATAAACTTACCTGCTCCCATTTCCCATAGGTTAAATTTTTTATACCTCTAAATACAATTCTATGGAGGAAAGATTTGTTAAATGACTCTTTTGTCCATTATATGTTTGTCCCTTATATGTGAAATACATACTAAAACTAATCATGTTAAAGATATATAAAATTATAACACACTTATACATCTGAAGTATAAGGGTTAAAGATTATAATGATTCAAGATAGATATGAGTTCAAGTTGATTTGTTTAATTAAACAACTATTTAGACAAATGATCCGTGTTTGTGTATTTTTTTTTTTTTTTCTTTTAACTTAAGTAAAGGGGTTGGATCCGAAATGACTCATTTTAAATTCAAAATGAAAAAAAAAAATAAAAAAAAAAAAAAAAAAAAAGTGGAGCTTAGTAAAATAAGCAAACCTAAATAATTGTACAAGATACAACTTAATTATCCAAATAATATTCTAAATTTCTAAGACTTTAAATCCTTATTTTTTACTCACTTATTAATTAAAACGTCATGTTTCCTTTTTGCAACAAATGGATAAAAGTGTCAATTCATTTAATAAAATTAGTAATAATTAATGTTTTCTTAATCTATTTGTTTTTTTTTTCATATAAACTATAATTTTGAGATGAAAAGAGCATTTTATTAATTTGTATGATTAAATAAAAATAAATATTTATGGTTTTGGATTTACATATAAATTTCCATCCAATCGGGATGTGAACTCTCCACTTAAAGAAAGAATGGTAACATCTATACAACACATTGTTAATTGTACATTTAAAGTTTTTTTTTCCTTCATATGGAAAATATTAGGGCTGGCAAAAATGTACTATGGAGAACCAACCGAACCAATAAAATCGGTAGCCAATATGTTTGGCCGGTAATACTATGTCAATTAAGTAGTCTTGTTACGGTAACGGTATACAATTTTGAATACCACGGTTGTATCATACCAACCTATATATATATATATATATATATATATATATATATATATATATATATATATATCAATCCTTACATTTTCAAGTTTTAGTTAAGAGTAACAACTAAAAAGTAATAGTCGGAGTTACTAATATAATTCAATTGATATTGATTCTTTTTTGAACAAAATATTATAATAAAAGAAATGACTAACACAAGGTTAAGGAAGTTACATGATACTAAAATAATTTACTAAAACAAGCGATAACCACAACTTCAACTCACGTTAATGATGATTATAATGTGAAGTCTTATATATATATATATATATATATATATATATATATATATATATATATATATATATATATATATATATATATATATATATATATATATATATATATATATATATCCGGTAAGAAATTTTTTTTGCTAGGAAGGTAAGAAATTTTTTTTCGACTTATTTTTTTGGCGAAAAAAACAAATGAATCAATAATAACATTATTCACCAAAAAAATCCCGAAAAAATATTTCGATGATTCATTTTTATGATGATTTTCATGATATTCACTAAAATTGTCATAAAAATGAATTTTTTCTTGATTTACCTAAAACTGAATCATGGAAGTGTTTTTTTCAGAATTTTTTCTTGTGAATCATCTTACTTTTGAATCATCTAATGATTCATTTCAATTTTTGCTAAGAAAATATCCATATAAAAAATTTTCTTACTTTCCTACCAAAAATTTCCTTCTTATTTGATCTTGACTATATATATATATATATATATATATATATATATATATATATATATATATATATATATTATATATATATATATATATATATATATATATATAGGGTTAGGTTCATGAGAGACGGCCTAATTTTGTAAGACCGTGAGACGCATTTTTTTATTTTTTTTTTTATTTTTTTTTTTATTTTTTTTAGTTAATTCAAGTTCTGAAAATAATATTTAAAAAAAGAATTTTTTGATTTTTCTATTTATTTTGCATTTTAAAATTATTTTTAGAATATGTACAGTGTAATCTTCTATTTAGAATATTTCACGTATTTTTCAAAAAAATAGTATTTTTTTATTTTTTTTAGTTAATTCAAGTTCCGAAAATAATATTTAAAAAAAGAATTTTTAGATTTTTCCATTTATTTTGCATTTTAAAATTATTTTTTAGAATATGTCAGTGTAATATTCTATTTAGAATATTTCACGTATTTTTCAAAAAAAAAAAAACGGGATTTTTTTAAATTTTTTTAGTTAATTCAAGTTTCGAAAATAATATTTAAAAAAAGAATTTTTGGATTTTTTTCATTTATTTTGCGTTTTAAAATTATTTTTAGATTTGGTCTCACTGTCTTACAAAATTATAATGATTTCAAATGAACCTGAACATATATATATTATATATATATATATATATATATATATATATATATATATATATATATATATATAGTCTTAAACTCTTCAAGTATAGATATTATTTAAATATTTTGGTATATAACAATATTAATATGTACCAATCAAATTTGTTGGTAACCAACTAACTTGGTATCAAGTATCATTGGTACGGTATTGGTAAGTAAAACTTTATGCCAATTATAATTGGTACGATATACGATTTGTAGGAAAAAAAACTTGGTATCGTACCAATTTCACCTAGAAAATATATATCTGGTTTTGCTTCTAACAATAGAATTCGTATACATATATAAATGTCAAACATATCATATATAATATAACCTTTTTGTTTAATTTTATTACCACTATCGTATTTTCTATAAACTCAAAACATTTAATTTATTTTATAGTTTATATGTCGAACCTTTAGACTTTCAAATAAACGAATTCATCGATCACCAATATTATAATAGGCTACTTTTTATATATCGTCAACAAAGTGTATATGAACCTATGGCTAATTGTCTATGGTAGTTGCATGTTCCAAAGCATGCATGATTGACCTTATTGTATCTATCTTATAGAAGATGATATTTTTCTTTAGGGTTATTGTATGCAAAATCATATTATTCTATTATAATTTATAGAAAATTATTATAATCTATGAAAAGTTCTTTTTTTTTTTTAATTATTATTTTTATCTTTAAATAGGTTATCGGCTAGGATTTGGTCATAAATTAAAATTATGATTTTTTTTCTATAAACTATGATAAAATAATAAGATTTTTCCAATAATAATGTTTTTTTTTTGTTAATCCAATTAAAAGCAAGATGATTTGATTTTTATATATTTGTTTTAATTTAAAAGAGAAAATTATGATAAAAGATATAAAAATCAAATCAATTAAATGAATAATAATAATAATAAAACAAAACAATACCACCATCCTATCTTAAAACATCATGTGACTAAATATGCTTATCCTAAAGTATATTGTCTAATAAATTTATTTTTAGTCATATGATAAAATATAGTTCATATTAAATTAGGATAAAGTTAGAAATTAAGAGAATCCACAATTGTCAAAAAAAAGTACCATTAGAGTCATAATGTTTCTTAATCAAAAGAGGACTCTTTTTCTTTGTAACCCCCGATTATCATTAAAAAAATGTAACTTTGAAATTTTTGGTACATAAAAGGTAAACTGATTTTCCTTTAGATGTCAAGTATCCTTTGCATAAAACATTGCTAATACTGGTGTGTTGCTTCATTTTTTTTTTTCAATTTTATATTAAGAAAATATATATTAAATATTTAACAATAAATGAAAAAACTCTGTTAAATCATGTGTCGTGTTGCTATAATACAAAAGAGGTAAATTAATATGTGATAGTTGCGTAAAATTATCAACATATCCATTCTCGTGGGGGTGGCTCCGTTGCTGGCCTATACAGTTCATCCCGTGGATACTTCATTGTCATTAAGTGGGGACCTAGACCACCCAACATTGGAACCTTTCCCCACTCAAATTACCAAAATACCCCTTCTATTTACTCCAATCATCACCCTCTAATTTAATACAACTAGGGCAGTTGGAGGAATATACCGATTAAATATATGTTTTATATAAAACGATAAGGAACAAATTTTAGGTATTTAGATCATTACATCCACATGTACATAAAATGAGGGTTAATTTGAAGGATGAGCAACAAAGGGCATGTGGGCCCGTAGTAAAAGTTGATAAAAATATGTCACTCGTCTAAAATGCTAAGGGTTTAAGTCCTTTTTATGATGAAAATATAGATTTAGTACTACGATAGTAATGTGACTTAACTGTTATAAGTTGGGAAAATAGAGTAGGTAACAACTTTTTGATTTTTTGTATTTAGTATTTTTTTTTTTTTATATTATATATCATCAAATTTATTGAAGTTGATCATATATTACTTTTGCAACCGAGTAGTGTAGGTTATAAGAGTAATATGTGAAAATTTTCAACAAGTTAGATGTTATATAATTTACAAAAAGAAAACTACATGTGAACAAAATTAAAAGTTCTTTTGAAAACCAACATGTGCATTGGATTTTAAGAATATTTTTCATACTAAAAATTTAAAACAAATCACCACACCAACTCTAGGTCACCGTCTAAAAGAGTGACACTATAATAATAACAAAAACAATGTTTTATTTTGTAAAGTGAATAAATATGAAAATGTGTATATATCCATATTTGAATATTCACAAATGTGCATATATGAACATTTATAGTTTCCATCGTTTGTTTGTTTGTTTGCTCATTAAGTTTTTTTTTTTTTTTTTTTTTTTTTTTTTTTTTTTTTTTGACAAATCAATGTTTTATTTTGTAAAGTGAATAAATATGAAAATGTGTATATATCCATATTTGAATATTCACAAATGTGCATATATGAACATTTATAGTTTCCATCGTTGTTTGTTTGCTCATTAAGTTTTTTTTTTTTTTTTTTTTTTTTTTTTTTTTTTTTTTTTTTTTTTTGACAAATCAATGTTTA